CGGTCGTTTACAAGAGCGTCGAACAGTGTCTGCTAACAAACTGGAAACGTCGGACGTCGCGTCGCACGTTTCCGTCTCCTTCGAGATCAATCAAAGAGGGAGAAAGGAAAGAAAAAGAAAAAGAAAATACATACCCAATCGCAATAATTCATCGACGAAGGGACCAAAGGTCAACACGTTAACGAGTGACAGAGAAATCGGTGGAAACGTCAGGCAACGCGACGCCCCGTTCTCGTACAATATGGCGAACGATAACTCAACGGACAACAGTTCGAACTCGCGTGTTCCAAGTTGAAAATCTTTCTCCCTTAGGCCGCCTTTTTCTTTTCATCGACGCCATCGTCTTCGAGCGTTGCTTGCTAGATCGTGCATCACTCTCGCCATTCTCTTCCTCCCTTCCTCATTTCGTCTTCGTCTCTTTATTATTATTATTATTATTATTATTATTATTATTATTATTATTATTAGCATTATTAGTATTATTATTTCTCTTTTTAATCTTGTTCTTCGTTCCTTTTCTTGGTCATCGGGGGTAAAGTCGAGGCGTGTTCGATCCACGGTGCGTCTCGCTGGCAGTAACTCGATATACGCTGTTTCGGGGACGACGAGCTCCTTCGTCCACGTTTTGGGGGATGACGGCTGGGATCCTTGCCTGATTGTGGCGCGAGAAATGGAAACGAAACGGCTCGCGGGTTTGCATTGGTGGCAGGCGTCGATCGGGCAAGATCGTTAAGGACCCGTCTTTCTTCCCTTCTTCACGTCTTCTTCAATGTGTTCAGAAGGAATCTTCCGTTTGTGCACACTTGATGTAGTTTCGATCGTTTGTAAAGTGGCGATCGGTTTGGTTTGTTCTTTGGCTACGTTTCGATGGCTACCCGCGTGGTCCCCTAACCTCTTGCACGCGAACATCTTCGCAGATTTCTCGCCTGATTTCTCCGCAAGGATTCCGACAGAGACAGAGAGAGAGAGAGAGAGATAGAGAGAGCGAAGAGGGAATATCGAGGGGTTACGCAGGGGCGTCGAATCGATGAATATTTCAACGATCGATTGGATTGTCGAGGCGCGCGCCATCTCGATCGATCTCGAGTCGCCGATGCAACGGTGATGGCGTGTAGTGCAGCGAAAGTCACGACGAAACCAGGCAAGAACGGATTCTTTTTTTTTTTTTTTT